CATGAATCCTAAATCTGTACTTGTCACTGGGAAGGCAGGGATTGGAAAAACTGTCTATTGCCAAAATTTAATTCGAGACTGGGCTGACAACAAATTATTTCAACCACAAAGTAATCGAAACGTGCCTGACTTTAAGTTCGTATACTTACTGACTTTTCGTCAACTGAGTTTGCTGAGAGGTAAGCGTGTTACTTTGAGGGAGATCCTCAACCGATCTTCAGTGTTAGATGAACACTCAAATATCGACGACTTTTTATTTGAGTACATTGTTGATCATTCTGAAAATGTTTTGATTATTCTAGACGGCTTTGACGAGTATTCAAAACAAAATTTCATCGTTAGGGATTTTGATGACCGATATCCGAATAGCGCCAAAGAGAAAATGCCAGTAGCAGCGCTATGCGCCAAGCTAATCAAAGGGAAAATCTTGAAAGATTCGGTTGTCATGATAACGTCAAGGCCTGATGAATCCGATCAAATGACGGTAAATGGTAAAGTTGCCTTTGATCGGTACGTTGAAATTACAGGGTTTTCCGAGGAACAGGTGAAGAATTACATTGAAAAGTATTTCAGAGAAAACGAAGTCATGAAGAATGCTGTAATGGATCACATTACAAAGAATGACAATCTTGTTAGCTTTGCCCACAATCCTGTTCTGTGTTTTCTGATGTGCTCATATTTTGAGTACATATTAAAGGAATCGATGAACACTGATGCTTTTCCTGTCAGCATGGGTGACATCTATTCGGAAGTGATCAACGTGTTTCTCAGAACACATAGCAGAACGAAAGGAGCCCCTCCAGAGAAAACGCTGGATAAATTGTCAAAGTTTGCGGCTCATTTGCTCCGAAAGAAGAAGTATCTCTTCAGTGATGTTGACGACATGAAAAGGTTTTCTTCGGAAGAAGTTGAAAGCCTCAAAGCAAGTGGTCTTCTCCATTGCGGTCCACTGTTTAGAAAATCATTTTCTGAAACGACGAAATATTTTTGCTTCACACACCTAACTCTCCAGGAATACTTGGCGGCTCGTTGGTTTGTGAAGCAAAGAGAAATTCCATCTTACTCTGAAAATGCCTCAGGAATGGTGTTGCAATTTATGTCTGGCATTTTATCAAAGCAAAACAACCACGCTTTTATGCGCAAATTGCTCAGAGGACTCATTCCAAGGACTCAGACTATATTTTCCGTAGAGCAACGAATAATAATGGAGTGTCTGGCTGAGTACCATGACAAAGAATTTGTACTAAATTTCGTAAAGAGATTTTATAGTCAGCTTTTTTTTCTTCATTCAACCATACAATTTGAAGGACTGGATTGTATCGCTATATCTTTTCTGTTAGATATCGTCAGTACATTGAATGCAGAAGAACAGGATGAAATGAATCAACTTACGTTTCAACAGTCTCATAGGCTGTTAGGTAATCGACCAAATCTTTTTAGGCGCGTCGTGCCATGTGCAGAGGGAACTGCTGAGAGGAGTCAAACATCCTCGCACCAATCAAGTAGAGCACCAGTTCAATTGTATCTCTTTGATTGTCATATTACACAGACTGGATTAAGACAAATATGTAAAGTTCTGAAGAACGAGCTCTGCACTGTGACGACGTCTCTTCACATTTCTGGCTGTTTGATGGCAGACGAATGTGTTGCTACGATTGCAGAATCGTTGCCATTGACTAACGTGATTCAACTGTCTCTGCAAGGGAATAAGATCACTGATGCTAGTGTTGTCAGTCTATGTCAAGCATTGCAAACAGCAGCATGTCAAGTCACCAAACTTGATCTGAGAGAAAATCAGATCACCGATGCCGGTGTTGCCAGTCTTTGTCAAGCATTGCAGACAACAGCATGTCAAGTCACCGAACTTAATCTGCGTGATAATCAGATCACCGATGCTGGTGTTGCCAGTCTTTGTCAAGCATTGCAGACGGTAGCATGTCAAGTCACCATACTTGATCTGAGTGATAATCAGATCACCGATGCTGGTGTTGTCACGCTCTGTCAAGCATTACAGACACCATCATGTCAAGTCACCAAACTTGTTTTGATTGAAAATCAGATCACTGATGCTGGTGTTGCCAGTCTATGTCTAGCATTGCAGACAGTAGCATGTAAAGTCACCGAACTTAATCTGAGTTATAATCAGGTCACCGATGCTGGTGTTGCCAGTCTATGTCAAGCATTGCAGACACCAGCATGTAAAGTCACAACACTTCGTCTGAATGGTAACCAGGTCACCGATGCTGGTGTTGTCACTCTATGTCAGACATTACAGAGGGCGCAATGTCCAGTCGAATATTTGAGCTTGTATAGTAATTTTCAGATCACCAGTGTTGGTAAGAGGCGTCTAAAAAAGCTGTCAAAGCGACATTCCAATCTTGACCTTTTTGTATTTTAAAAAACTACTTAAAAGACAAATGATCAGCAATAGTTGTTAACAAAACCGCAAAATTATCGAAACAGTATTGACAAATATTAAGAATAAATACCTTATATACTTTTGAGTGATTTCATCTAGCACTGATATAAGTATTCTCCTCAACATTTAACATGTAAGATATTTTTTCCATGATTACAGCTTCCAGAAAAAGTCCCAGTCCCCTTCGCGGCTGTCATACAATTCTCTCCTCAACAGATCAATTGTCAATCCTTGTATGGGCCAATCACTGATAGCCATCTATTTAAGGGAACCTCTCTCGCCAATTTCGCCCTTAATCATAATAAAAAAAAAAAAAAGGAAAAAAAAAAAGAATAAGAACAGAGACTCATCCAACAGACACCGTTTTCAGTCGTTACCCACTCGTAGACAACAAACATCACAAATAAAGATGGGTTTGCTCCGCAGACGTTTGATTTTTGCCAAAGATTTTGAC